GAGGAGGGCATTGAATGTGCGTGTTTCTATGTGTGTATACAGGGGGATCTGGTTTTTTAAATATATTGCACTAATCAAGAGATTAAATGCATCAGAATACAAGATGCTTATTTAATTTTTTTTTCATCATATAGAAAAATAAACATGGTTTAATTGTCAGCTCATACATAATGAGGTTTTGTTCGATGAGTTTAAGATACAGCATTTTACTTTCTGGTTTATTAATTGGCCAAATACTTCTAGTCCTCTGTAACAAATCTTTGATTTAAAAATGAGGAGAGGGCAGATCGCTAACCCAGGGGAAGATCTACTGATATACACAGGCTGTAGTTTATCCTTCTATAAAATCCTATGGATAAAAAGTGACACTCCCCCCCCACCTTCTTTTGGTTTTTTTTTTTTGGGGGTTTTTTTGGGGGGGTTTTTTTTTTTTTTTTTTGTTATTGTAAATGTTTTCCAGTTTGAATAACCTGGGAGCCAGGCAACATTCTGGTATTTTGGGGATGTGGGAGGGAGAAAATGAAATAAACTAGTTTTGCTTTAATTTAAAACAAACCATTGTTTGAAAGGCATTTAGCAGTCAATTTTCACATCTGATCTGAAGTTAGAGTTTATTGTGCTCATTTAGTTGAGATTGTTCAAGCGATTTCTGTATAAATTTTTGTAATTCATGTAACTACTTGGCTTCTTGAACCTTGGGAGCTGATTGTTTGTCTTATCTTTTGGTGAGCTAACTCTGCGTTATGTTGCAAAACCTTGAGGCATGTTGTGTTTCTTCGTGTTCTTGCAGTCTGCAAGTGAAGTCAGCTTCATTAGTTTCATGATGGCACATCAGTGCATGGCTGGTGTTGCCGCTTCCTTCAAGCTACTCCCGGAGCATGATCTGGGCTGCCTTGGTTTGGATAAGCTTGTAAGGATTTGTCAGCCAGATGTGACAAGATTGTCAAGAGGCAAGTAAAGAAGGAGATCTGATATTAATCAGTGCATAGCTTGGAGCCAAACTTTCTCAAATGCAGTGTAGTAACATGTTCTTCTCATTTACTGCTTCTCTTTGTGGCTATAGAACTGCCACTGTCTGAGTTTGACGGTTAAAAGGGATGCCAGCTAATAGTCTTTAATTGTAAGGATACAATTCTAGGTGGGAAAAGATCATATGCTTCTATTTTTAACATCCTTTTGGAAAATACAGTTCTGTTTACTGCAGTTTGCTGAAAAATATGCAAACGTTACGTTAGACAAGGGTCTCTGTTTCTGTACTTTGGTTTTAAAATCCTGAAACTGTGGCTCACCTCTCAGTGCTGGAGGAGTGGGAGGCGGGGAGCCTCGCTCCGCTTCAGGTCATGGTGCAAAGTAGGACTAGCAGTATTTTTAACTGCTAACAACAGTGCGTGTTGATTTTCTTTGTTCTGGTGATTAGAACAATATACACTGGAGAATATCTTTCTAACTGCTTCTTTTAAAGAAAAGGGAAAAAATACGGACTTTCAAAGAACACACCGCGTAGATTCCATTAGATCTATTTACCATTAGGTCTATAAGGCTAGTAAGTTTTCTTTATAATCAGTATAATTGTGAATTTCTGTTTGAATTAAAGTCTAGAGTTTTTAGTAGTTCACAGCTTAATCTGACTTTTATTTTAGCAATAGGTGAACATGTAAAAAGTAACTAATCTTATGTTATGGAAAATACATTTTTGTTATACTTAATATATGGATTTTTGGTAGATTGATTTTTAAAAAGTAATTGTTCGGGTTTTTTTCTTTGAACTACCAAACAGTCTACAACCTATTCAGAACTCTAAAAATAACGCTGTCTGCAAACACATCCAAACCTGCAGGAGAGCTAAATCTTCACAGAAACAGGAAAAATTATTACAAACGTTGGGCCACTCCATGGGCTTTACTATAGCTCAGATGAAATTCTGCCTACTTAAGCTACAACAAGGTTTGGCCTTTTGATACCAAATGTCTTGACTTCCAGCTTCTGTGCCTGTTCACGATATTGTTAAAAAACCTGTTCGTACAACATGGAACATGTCATCCCATTTCCAATCAAACAAACCCGCGATTTATTTTGTTTTCAGTAATAAAGTCTTCATATTAAACACACCTCTGCTAAGAACAGAAATGTTCTCATTTTATTTTATATTACAGGTTTTGCTACATATAAATGGTTTTTAAAGCACTTTTTGTATGATTTGGCATTTAGTAAACACTTTTCATGCAGATTCAAGCTGAAATGTAGGTATGGATCTTGAATTCATTATTCCACCAAGTGCAGGGAAGAAAAACTATTGTTCTGGCCCTCTGGGTCAGCTCCTGCCCTTCCTGGCTTCAGTGGTGCAGGAACTCTGAGTACCTATGTGCTGGGCAGCCAGCAGGTTTTGTCGTAGCAGATGCTAAAGTTGAAGTCTTACAGCAAGTGTCATCACCTTTCTTCTTCTTAGTTTTTGTTTCTTATTATTTTGTTGCTAATTGCTATCTAAAAAAATCTGTGTAGGGACTGAAATTTCAATATTCAGACTCAAAAAAATAATATTATTGAGGGAATGAAGAAAAGTGACAATTTCTAACAGAATTCAGTCATTTTAGAATAAAGAATAATGACACTTTCATTCCACACTTTAAAACCATGGTAGGATTGCTTCTTTAAACAAATACCAAAAAAAAAAAAAAAGGCAAAATACCAACTTTTTACTCTGAATTTCAAATATAGCTGATTATGAGTGAGAAATGGGTATTTTTTCATTTGAAAGTAGCTGATGTCTGAAAGCCAGTTAATTTCCTCACCTGTGTTCAATAAAAAGGAATACTAAGTTTTAAATTGTGAAATTGCCAATGGAGCTACATGGTTGCGTAAAATATTGCATAACTGTAGCACCATAGATAGTATCATGCATATGTGTACAAATAGTGTTTGGGTTTAAAATTTATGAAATTGCTTTAAATGACATTGTGTAATGCTAAATATTTCAGAGAGCTCTTATTTTTCTTTTATTCCTTAATCTCTGTCTTTGCTCTGTAACAGGAAAAAAGCGAAAAAATTTATGGCTTTGAGACTTAAGCAGTGGTATGAGGAGCTGAAAAAGTTAGGATTGTCTTTGAAACATTAACTCACCCACATTGCGCACACATAACACTTTATAAACTAGGTAAAGAGTTAAAGACATATTTTAAAGGGCTTGCAGTTGATTTATACTAGTATTCCTCATTTCTCTGATACTTGTGCATTTGTGCTTATAACGCTCATTTCTTGCTAACTTAGGACTTGGAGTTAAATATTTTCAGTTCATGGATAGGTCTGTAATTTCAGCATTTAATGTGGTGTGCATAGTGTGTCAATACAGATAAATAGTATGTGTGCAATTTATTTGCTAGATTAAATAGCATCTAGTGCTTTATTGTAAGAAATGTCACAGCATTTCTATCCAGTGACTTATCTTTATCCCTAAAGCCTGAGCAGTTTTTCTCATCAGTATGCAACAATCTGTTACTCATTTTTTTAAATGCACTAATAAGAGCAATTTTTCCTGTAAACTTATTAAAAAGGGAGGCTACTTCAATATCTTGTGATAGACACTGCTTAATACTCAGCAAAATGTTTCTGACTTACACAGGCGGGGGCAGGTATGCCATGGAACTGTAGCATTGTATCCTGTTTCAGTATCAAAAGTAAATAACAACTATAAGGTAATGCTAATAGATATTTTTCATTTTTCAATTTGTATTTCTTCTTTACTTTTCCAAACCAAACGGTAAAGGAGGATCTTGCAGGTTCCTGAGTTTGACCAGGCTGTCTGTCAGCACACACCTGTTGTTAGCAAGTGAGATTAATTGCAGCATAAGCCAACGTATCTACAAGCACGTTGCTGAACAGCAAAATTAAGTTTTACTGTCCAGTGCTTTTTGTTTAAAGAGTAGCAGTCACACACGCACACACGCACACATTCTTTTATCTTTATAATTATTTTGACAGTGCCATTAACAAGAGTTGCCCTAAGGGGCCCTTTAGGGTAAGTGACATGCACGAGGAGTGATTTTCATCCCACAAGTTATGCTGTGATTAAAGTTTGGCCTTGTAGCATGCTGCCTTTCTCAGAAACGGCTCCCTTCTGCTTCCTCGCCCAGCTGCGTTGTCCGAGACTGCCCAGAGCTCCTCTCCGTTAGCCGCGAAAGCTGCTGCTGAGCCTGACTTGGCTGTAGGGTTGTGAGTCTGTATTTAGTTCTCAGTTCCTCAGCTCCTCGCTCTCAGGACTGTTCTCAGTTAGAAAAACTTTTTAACAAGGTGCTGACATGTGGGCTCATGGTCCATAATTCAGTAGCCAGCTAAAACTG